CAAAAAAAAAAGAAACAGACGATCCTTTTTTTTTTTTTTTTGAAACAGAGGATCCTTAAAGATACGTCGCCATTAAGTGGAAGAAGCCAATCTGGCTTTGTATTAGATGATTCCAACTGTATGACATTCTGGAAAAAGCAAATCTATGTAGACAGTCAACAGATGAGTGGTTGTCAGGGGTTCAGTGAAAGGGAAGGAGAGACAAACGTGGAGCACAGAGGATTTTTAAGGCAGTGAAACTGCTACACATGATACAGTAATGGTGGAAACATGTCATTATGCATTTGTCCCACAGAATGTACAACATAAAGAGTGAGTCCTTATGTAAACTATGGATTTTAATTAATATTAATGTATCAGTATTGGTTTATCAACTGTAACAACTGCACCACACTAATACAAGATGCAAAGAAGACAAATTGTGTGGGTGGGAGAGGGGAAATCAGGGCTGTGGACTTTGTATTTTCTTATAAGTGAGACTATTAAAATAGGACTACAATAATGACTACTACCTATTAGGAACATCATTATATAACAGAAAAAAGATCTTTAAAACCCAAAGGTTAGGAGGATGTATTCTTGTGATACAGAACAGTCCTTCCTTGATAAAAGATGGCGCATAACGGAATATCTGTCAAAATGAAATAGAAGTAGATAGGTAGAGAGATGAAATATTATCTCAATTACTTTCATTTCACCCCACACCAAGGAAAAAATCATCATGAACTGGCCTAGTTAATGCTCTGCTTTTAGAAGATCATTATTCATTTATTGCTTATAATATCCCTGCAAGAGAAGCAGTAGTAGTGCTATTCCCATTTATGAATGGGGTAACTGACCCCTATAGAAGTTAAGCAACTTTTCCAAGGGGACATACACCTTGCAACAGCAGCTGAACTTGAACTGTATAACTGTACTAAGCTTATGATCATGACATGATAGCATCCTTGTGCAACTATATAGCAAGCAAATGACATGAGGGATGGGAGGCTGAGAAAGAGATCAGGACCAGAGGTGACAAGTGGAAGTCATCCATAAACAAACAATGGCTGAAGCTATAAGGAGGGGGAAAAAATCATAAGGAAGGAAGGAGAAGGGAGCCAGGGAGTGAGCAAGGGCTGCAGGACACATTAAGGCCTTTCTTTTGGCTGAGAAAAAAAGGACAGGGAAGTGTACAATGAGAGGCAGTCCAAAGAGAAGTGAACCAAAAACTGTCACCAGGATTGAAATCAGGGGCCATTATCTTTGACTCCTCTCTCCCTCGAATCTGCAACACTCAGTAGCTTTAACACATTACATCCACACATATGTTTTCAAATTTGTCTTTTACTTCGCATTTGTCATTACCCTGTACATGGCCTTTATCAATTTTTATTTGGAACTATTCAAAGAGCCTCCAAACATGTCTCCTTGTTTCCATTCTACCTGCCTCTAAGTAATATACCTGCTTGTGTATCCAGTTTCTTTTACTCCTCCTCCCACAATTCCCAACAAATGAGAACTTATACACACTGTTCAACATGTTTTTTTTTAACTGTCTTGAACATATTTTCATATTCACACGTGGAGACCTACCTCTTCTTTCCAAAGACTGCATAGTATTCAATTATAAACATATAAATTATCAGCCCCCCAAAAACATTTCTATTATTTCCAGACTTTTGTCATTACAAATTTAGCAATGACCTGTCAAGTTTTAACCAGACTATCTGCAGAATAAGAATTACAATCTAAACAATATTAACCATTTCTATCAAACAAGATATGCCTTTCCATTTAAGTCTTCTTTTATATTATTCAGCAGAATTTTAGAGTTTCTTCATAAAACCTCTGCATGTATCTTAAGTTTATTCTTGGATATTTCATATTTTTAATTGTTATTATAAATAGGATATTCCCTCCCTTAAGTATATATACTTAAGTATATAAGTATACTTAAAATATTTTTAAGTATCTTCATAATAGAAAGCTGTTAATTCTTATATATCAAACTTGGCTTTTAGTATGCCCTGTAGTTTTTTGTTGAAAGCTGGACATGATGTAGTAGGTAAAAAGAACTGAAATAAGCAAACCTTGAGTGATGTGGTAGTGAGGTATGGAGGTGGGAGGGGAAGGATTCTACAGTCCTATGACTAAGTCCTACATACAGTCCTCAATCTTTTAATGAGCTTGTACCCCTGGGCTGTAACACCCAAAAGTGCTTCCTAGTCTCCAGCTCTGAGGTAGGAAAGGATGACTAGAGTACTAGAATTTGTATTTCTATTTCTCTTCCTCCAGGTAGAAGACTAGAGGAGACTGGAGTTAAGTATTTCCCTTCTCCCAGGTCAGGCAAGCTGTGACAAAACCAGGTAGGATAGGTTAGTAAAACAGTTTCTCTCAAGGGTAGGCCTTATCAAAAAGAACAGAATGCTTTGGACATATTTCAAACTGGCTGTTTTTCCCTCCCCTCTGCCAGAAAGCAAAAGAGATTTTTCTCTTACCTCTGTGTGGTAACTTGGTAGCGTTTTTGTTGGTAAAACTCACAAAAGTATGAAGAACTCCTAGAAGTGGGGTTCCCTGGAGTTAGCTCTCAGACTTGTCCACATTGAGCATCCAGCAACTCCTCAATTACAGTTCCTGTTTTGATACCCCATACTGGTTCCTGAGAAGGCTTTTGCTTATAGGTTTCTGCTCTACCTGTCTGTCCAATTTGGAAGGCAGCCATTTGTCCCACGATCTCAATTCTCTGATGGATCTAAGAAGCATTGTTGACTTTCAACTTGTTCTGCTTTTTATTTGTTACAACAGAGTGATGACTTCCAAGCTCCTTTTAATAACCAGTCATCTAGTTAAAGTTTTTTGTTTCTAATAATATATTTGATTTTCTTGATTTCCAGGTTAAAATATGCTTATTTTGCCTCTTCCTTTTCAATAACATGCATAGCATGTATTTATGTTATCAAATTACATTGGATGATACTTAAAAACAATGCTAAATAACACAGTCATGATAGTAGGTAACCTTATCTTGTTCTTTAATGGGAGTACTTCTACTGTTTTAATATTGTACTATTAAGTCAGATGCTTACATAAGTATTTACCTATTCCTTTCTAATTAAAAAATTCTAAAAATCTCAAATAGATGAATTTTGTCAAATACTTTTCATTATGTGCCTTTTCTGTATAAAGATGATTATGTGAAATGTGTGGACTATAACAGAAATTATATCAGCAGCACTTGCACTATGCTCAGTTTTGAAGTCTGAAATATTTCTTATCTTTTCCAGAATTAGCATCATGTTAATTAGTGTTCTACCTAGTTAAATAAAATTTAGACATATACACTTTTCCTTATCTCCTTATTATCAATTGAACAGTCACTATTATTCCTATTGCATCATGAATATATTAAATATTGCTTTCCCATTTATCATTTTCTCATACTTTCTAATTTTTAAATAGTCTCTATCATTCTATCGTAATTATTTGGCTTTTTTTACTAAGAATTTTAACACAGAGTTTTTATTCTTTTAGGCCTTAAGGGGGTTAATAGTATCTTTAAATTACATCAAACTAATTACAGATCCAATGAACATGCTAACTAAACTATCTAACAGAATAGTAGGCAAGACATTACTGAGCCCAATGCTGACATCATAAGCTTCTAGTAAGCAGAACTGAGGAGCTTTTACTCTGACACTCAACCTAATAACTGTCAAAGTAGATATTTTTAAGGAAGAGCTTCTATGTACCAAATACTAAGAGTAGTAAAAGTCCTGGGGATTTTTATTTTTTCCTTAATCCTATATCTATTTCCCACAGATTATTTCATTAATTGCTTTCATAATAAAAAATACCTAGTGTTGTTATAAAAGATATAAAATCTTACAAAAGAGAGTTAGTGGTAATGTTGGAGAGGAAAGTTTCAGTAAAATGGAAATCATGGGAGTTTGGACCTAACATTTCCATATTAAGGATGGATGTGAGACAACTGTGAATATTTTCAAATGGATTTTGGTGGCTCTTGATGACAGAAATAAATTAGTGACTACCTTCTGCCTCTCTTCCAAATTTTCCTCATATAATCTCTTCAAAGTTTTTTTCAACATTATTTGATTATTATCCACACATCTTCTATTAGGAAAGAAAGATCATAAAGGGCTGGAATCACCTGATGGGGCTGTGTCTCTTATTAACATTTTGACCATGATCTGTTTCACTGAAGAGCAGAAACAAGTACATTCCAAATGTGTGAGCCAGGATGAATGGAAGCGGGAATGAGGACGTGACATTTAAGGGACTATAAGAAGATAAGAAGACTCTCTATCTATAGAGATAGGGTTATGTTTTGGAAAAGATGGACATTCAGTGTGATAGATTTGATGAGACCAAACATGGAGAACCCTGAACACAAGACTTAGAAGTCTACACTTTCTGTAAGAAACAGGGATCCCCTGGAAGATTTTTTTTTTTAAGATTTATTTATTTATTTATTTATTCCAGAGAGAGAGAAAGTAGAGTGAGGGGCAGAGGGAGAGGGAAACAAGCAAACTCTCTGTTCAGCTGGAGCCCCACTCAAGGCTCAATCCCAGGAACGTAAGATCATAATCTGAGCCAAAACCAAGAGTCCAACACTTAACTAACTGAGCCACCCAGTCACTCCTGCCAGTAGAATATTTTTTTAAAGATTTTATTTATTTATTCATGAGAGGCACAGAGAGAGAGAGAGGCAGAGAGAGAGGCAGAGACACAGGTAGAGGGAGAAGCAGGCTCCATGTAGGGAGCCTGAAGTGGGACTCGATCCCAGATCTCTAGGATCACACCCTGAGCCAAAGGCGGCGCTAAACCACTGAGCCACCCGGACTGCCCCAGAAGAATTTTTAAACAGAGGTGTCACATTATGAAAGTGATATCAGACGAAGACTAGCCTTATGATGGTGCATTAGCTAAATCAGAGAAAGGCAAGCATACCATACATAAGACTTAGGGGACTATTTAAAATGAAAGGACGCATGAGGCACCTGGGTGGCTCCATTGGTTAAGCGTCTACCTTCACCTCAGGTCATGATCCCAGGGTCTTGGGATCCAGCCCCATGCCGGGGTCCTTGATCAGCAGGGAGTCCGATTCTCCCTCTGCCTCTCCCACTTCTTGTGCTCTCTGTCAAATAAATAAATAAAAACTAAGAAAAAAAATGAAAGGAAAATGAGCAAACAATTTCATATTTCTCATTCTACTGATTCAGTCAACAAATTTTTCTTAAGTACTTCCACATTCTAGATACCGAGCTCTAAGGATACAACAGGGAATAAGACAAATATATCTGCCCTTAAGGGGTTTAGAGCAATAGTCTTTTTTTACCCAATGAATTTATTTTTCTTTAAACTCTTGTTTTTAATAAATGCTCTCCAAATATTTTCTCAGAAGCATATTTAAATGTAGCAGCATTTTACTTGTAATATAAACTTTAGAATGCTTTAGAATGTTCTGCCCTCTTTGTTCCCAAGGTATACCTTCTTCATCCTATTATGCAATAATCACTGATTTGCTTACCTCCTTTTCCATGACATGACTCTAAGCCTCATGCTGGCAGAAACCATGTCTTACTGGACACTGTCTCCTCAAAACTTCCAGGAAATTCCAAGAGTACAATGAGTCATTGAAGAAGTACACAGATTTTATTTGGAACTATGAATAAAACATAGAATTTCCTTCTTCGTTTCCCAGATGTGGCTAACAAGTGGTTTCAAGAGTCACCTGATTAGAAGTGCTCCTCAAACTTTTCCACCAACTAAACAGAGCAAATGAGAGGACAAATGTCTCCAGTGTCCCAGGGAGCTTGAGGCTGCAACTGGACACAAGTATAAACAGCTTTTAAGTCACACTCACTCAGGTGTGGTTCTATGCACTAGGGATATAAGTAAGGTTCCTGCCTTTGTAGAGCTTAAGATGAGAGAGGTCAAATGAACAGTAATCAATAAGCAAGAAAAGGTCCTTACCATTTTAGCATATTTTAAAATTTATTTTTTATTTAATAATAATCTTTAATAGTTAATATTTTTAAGTCTTATTTAAAAATTCCTTCCTGAGGCACCTGGGTAGCTCAGTCAGTTAAGCATCTGCCTTCAGCTCAGGTCATGACCCAGAGTCCTGGGATCGAGCCCTGCATTGCTTTGGGCTCCCTGTTCAGCAGAGGGCCTGCTTCTCTGCAGTTCCTCCTGCTTGTTCTCTCTCTCTCTCAAATAAATAGAATCTTAAAAAATAAAAATCCCTTCCTTGTGCACGTAATAAAGATAGTATCACATATTTTCTTTTAAATTATAAAATTTTGGGCAGCCCGGGTGGCTCAGCGGTTTAGCGCCACCGTCGGCCCAGGTTGTGATCCTGGAGACCCGGGATAGAGTCCCACATTGGGCTCCCTGCACAGAGCCTGCTTCTTCCCCTGCCTGTGTCTCTCTGCCCCTCTCTCTCTCTCTCTCTCTCTCTCTCTCTGCACAGAGCCTGCTTCTTCCCCTGCCTGTGTCTCTCTGTCTCTCTCTCTCTCTCTCTCTCTCTCTCTCTCTCTCTCTCTGCCTCTCATGAATAAATAAAATCTTTTTAAAAAATAAATAAATAAAATAAAATTATAAAATTTTGGTTTTCAATTTTAGGATTTTAATCTAATGAATTCATTGTGTATATGTGAATTAGGAACTCAACTTCTTTTTTTAAAATTTCAATATGCTAACCCAGCACTGATTACCAAATAATTCATTCTTTTTCCACTGATTTGTTATACCATCTCTGTCATATAGAGTCCCTACAAAATCAGTCATTCTTGAACTGTCATGTGTCTTCTTGATCTATTTCTGTTCTAATTACTTTAGCTTTACAAACTAATTAAATGAATTCCCCCCTTCATTTTTCCTCCTAAATAATCTTGACCTTTTACCTTTCCGTATAAATTTCAGAATCAACTTGCCAAGGTCTGCAAGACAAACTTTTGAATTTGGTTTGAAATTATATTGCACTAACAGATACATACTGAAAATATTTGACATCTCCAGGCGATTGTGTCTACTCATCTATTTTTTTTTTTTAAGATTTTATTTATTCATGAAAGACACAGAGAGAGAGGCAGAGGCCTAGGCAGAAGGAGAAGCAGGCTCCTCACAGGGAGCCCAATGTGGAACTTGATTCCCAGACCCTGGGATCATGCCCTGAGCTAAAGGCAGATGCTCAACCACTAAGCCACATAGGCATCCTTCTACTCATCTATTTACTTAGATTTAAGTTCATTAATAAAGTTTGTAACTTTCTCCATAAAGTTCTTATGTATATTTTATTAGATGTACCCCCAAGTAATGTAATTTTGTTGCTCTTGTGACTGGAAATCTTTTTAAAAATCAATCACACTGTCTAAATATTTTTGTTAAGGTACAGAAGCAAGATTTATCTTTTTAAAGTTATCTTGCAAAAAATAAAAAATAAAAAAAAAATAAAGTTATCTTGCATCCACCAACAGTGCTGGTAGTTTGCATATAGATTTTTCTTAAACTTTCCACATAATCATCTGTAAGTTAAAAAAAAAAGCTTTCTTCCTTTCATTTCTTACATTTATTATTTTTTGTATTTTATTGGCTACAAATTCTGCATCATGTTTCTAAGTTTAAAGGCTATGCTTCTAACATTTCCCCATTAAGTATAATGCAGAGTTTTGATGGATATCCTTTATTTGGCTAAAGTTGTTCTTTTCAGTTCCTAGGCGCTCAAGAGTTGATGCTGGTCTGGCCAGTAGAGGTGCTAATCACAAATAAGTGCTAACTTCAACCATTTTTTTCCCTGGCTAGTGAAATGATTATGTGTAATAGACACTGTTCACTGTCTACCTAATATCGGTTCTATGAGCCTTAACTCATTCTGACTAGATCTGCGTATTTTTAGAACATGTCAACATTCATGGACACGCTCTAGGTAAGAAATAATCCAGTTATCTCTGACCTTTGGTTAATAAAAAATATGAATATATAAAAAGCAAATTTACTTCATTTAAGCCAATTAAATATTATAAGATAAGGGCAGATGGTTAAAAATAAAATCCAAATATTACAATTTTATCTCCTATATAGAATATATATTTATATATACATACATTATATGTATGTCATATATTCTAAGATCAAAAAGGCCTTCTAAAATAGAGATAAAACACAAAATAGAATTTCATTTTAATATTTGATTTTGAATTACAGACAAACATTGGTATAAACGCTCATCGCAGACATTACAAAGGAAATGTTGCATAGCCCAACCTTTAATTTATCTTTTAGTCATCATCACTTAAGGAACTTACTTTAATTAAAATCCAGTGCTATACAAATTACACTTTATAAATAAATAGAGCTGTGCATCTGAATTTTAAAATCCTGAACTTCTGGGGCGCCTGGGTGGCTCAGCGGTTGACATCTGCCTTCGGCTCAGGGCGTGATCCTGGAGACCCAGGATCAAGTCCCACATCGGGCTCCCTGCATGGAGCCTGCTTCTTCCTCTGCCTAGCTCTCTCTCTCTCTCTCTCTCTCTCTCTGTGCCTCTCATGAATAAACTAATAAAATCTTTAATAAATAAATAAATATAAAATCCTAGACTTCAAGGAAATTATTTCAGTCAGCAAATAAACAAACCAGACACCAATTTCCTAGGTTCTTAATTCCACTAAGTGTCAAACTTTAAAAATATGTTCTTATTAAGAAAGCCTAATTTTAAAAAACTATAGATCTATTTTTTTAAAATATTTTCTTTATTCATGAGAGAGACACAGAGAAAGAGAGAGGCACAGACACAGGCAGAGGGAGAAGCAGGCTCCATGCAGGGAGCCTGATGTGGGACTCGATCCTGGGTCTCCAGGATCACACCCTGGGCCGAAGGCAGGCGCCAAACCGCTGAGCCACCCGGGCTGCCCAGATCTATTTTTTAAAATGCATTTGCATTAAAATTTTTGTATGAAAGAAGGGCAGAGAAAAAAAGGGAAAAATTTTGTATGATTCTTTTTTAATTTTTTAAATGAAAGTAAGTTCCACTGTCAACTGAAGAGGAAATGAAACAAAGAGAAACACTCTACAATTATTCACTGAGACACATGACTGAATTTACCAAGGCTGATTTGTTGCTTAATTTTTCAGAAAAACGTGTACTGGATTTTATCTGTATAGGACTTTTTCCACAACAAGCAATACTGAAAAGGTGAAAAGTACAAAGAAAATTCCACTTGAATAAATATAAATTTCAGATATCTGACATAGTTCCATATACCCTCTAATTTTCCATTCTCTCTTACTGATGCAGAAGCAAGAAAACCTTGTTGTTGTTTTTTTTTTAAGATTTTATTTATTTATTCATGAGAGGCACAGAGAAAGAGAGAGAGAGAGGCAGAGACACAGAGGGATAAGCAGGCTCCCTGCGGGAAGCCTGATGGAAGACTCAATCCAGAGACTCCAGGATCAGATGCCCAACTGCTGAGCCACCCAGGTGTCCCAACAAATCCTGTTTCAATAAGAAATCCTCAAGAGAAGCTTTCATGTTCAGCTGCTAATCAACTAACACACTATCCTTTCAGTAAAGTGTCACTGCATAATACCTGTGGCAGAAAATTTGAATTTCTACAATTTAAATGAAGATTTTTAATGAAATTGGATTAGCTTTTCAATGCACAGTGCTTTCTATACTTCCATTTAAAAGCTGTTACTAAAGGAGCTTTAGAAAGGTTAAGGCTCAGGGCAGGGATAAACAGTTGAGGCTATGTGGAGAACTCAAAGTCTAGAGGTTAACCAACTTCAAATCATCTGTGAATGATGATTTTCACAACTATCATACCAAGCCCCTCATCTCACACATACAGCCAAACCATGATCCAGCATAAAACAACACACAGCTGTCTGCAGTTAGGTCCACCTATAATTAACTAGCACAGTTCTATTTTATGGCCACTAAAGATCTACACACTAAAAGCAAAATATTCATCAACTAATAAAATTGAGAAGAGGGAAGATTTTTACTACAAAAAGTCTCTTTCTCTGCTTATTTAGAAAAGCAATTTTCATTTACTAAGGAAGTAATATTGAAAACTGGTATTACTACCTCAATATCTTTATTACATTTTTTCCTTGTCACCTAAGAAAACCTCACTGCACCTATGAAGACAGCAACAAAGTCATAGAAAGCTAGTCTCCCTGCATAATGTGCTTCACAGGAATATCACTAAACAGAGACTAAGTAAGGGCAAGACTTACTGTGTGCCTTTAAGCACAGGACTTAATTAATCTCTTATGAATACCGGGTTTCTCATTAGTCACATGGAGCAATAATATGTCTCACAGGACTGTGGTGAAAGTTAAATGACAGGAAGCATATATAAATGTTTATCAGTAGCAAGCTAGATTTTTTTTTCAAGTATTAGAAGTACATCCTTCTTCCCACCCCACCTCTGAAAAGAGCACATAATTGAAATTAGGCTGCATTTTTAAATGATACTAACAATTAATGTAATGTTAATCATTCATCTCCTTTCCACAAGTGGGAAAAAAAAGACTAGTAATCAAACATATCTTTAAAAATGAGGGGAATAGGTAACAGCTTAAACACTACTATGGAAAGTACAGTCAACCTTTGTGGCCCAAAACCATCTTCTCCTTAATTTAACAACTGTCTCTTCATTCGGGGACCCTCTAAGTTGTGAAAGATGCCAAATTCATAAGGTACTAATGGAGATAATTCTAAAGTCACGAAGCTGATGATACCTTCATCAGTTTTTGATAACTTCAAAAGATTCCCCTGGTACCCTACAGTGCTAAGAAAGTCAGTAATTCTGGACATTTTTGTATCTAACATTAAACCTGAAGGGACAACAGGCATAAAATAAGACTACTCCAAACAAATGTGCATATGTGATCACCCTACCCATGATTATTACCTCCAAATAAAATGTAGGCAAATGATCTTTTGCTTCAGAAGGAAAATAACTTTGTTCCTTTTTTGGGAAGGAAGAGAGAGAGAGGGAGGGGGGAAGGAAGGGGAGAGAAGGAAGCAAAGAAAGGAAGGGAGAGAGAGAAAGCAAATAAGAGAAAAGAAAAAAGTGGGGGGGAGAACACCTAGTGTCCAGATCTTGGTTTCTAATACCATTCTCCAATTAAAAAAAAAAAAAAAAAAAAAACCTGGGTTCCTTGAGAAATGGATGACAATTTTAAGACTGAGGCAGGAAATACCAAGATGAGCCAAGAGCATCCTGCAGTGTTTACTTAGTAAAGTGAAACAGAGCTCAGATCAAAACAAAAACACCACCACAATGATGCGAATATGGCAAAGGGGTGGAGGATCTGACTGAAATAACGCTCAATTTGGAACTTTAACAATTTGAGCAACAAATTAACACTAAATTGCAATCCAAAATACACAGATATCCATTAAGTATATACTAAGATAAATAAATCATTGCATAAAGCCATAAATGAGAAGAGACAAATCTCCATGCAGAATAATTACAAAAAATGCATGTAGATGTTCCACTCACAATAGAGCGGGCTTAAATGTGGGCTGTACACAGCCACTGCCTTCCAGAGAGTATAATATAAAAAGGAGAGGGGGGGAAAAAGAGTATTTTGCAGTGAAAAACCCTTAACACTACCTCCACCAAGTGATTAAAGTTAACATCAACAGTGATAAATCATGTTGATACTATGTACCTTTAATATGAGTGATGAAGATGGCTATTTTACATCTGTGGTCTTCTTCCCCAAAAGATAGAATCCCAGTCTATGGGCAAAATATCATTCTACAAAACCCCTGATGAGTGCTCTTTAAAACTGTCAAGATCATCAAAACCAAAGAGTCTAAAAGCCTGTCACAGCCAAGAGACTCCTAAGGAGACATGACTACTAAATGTAATGTGATATCCTAGATGGGCTCCTAGAACAAAAACAAGGAAATCAGGTAAAACCTAAGGATATTTGGAAAAAATATGAGCTTTAGTTAATTATAATGTATCAACATGGGTTTATTATTTTTGACAGATGTACCATACAAATATAAGACATGAATACGAGGGGAAACTGGAGGTCAAGTACATAGGAACTCCATACTATCTTTGCAATTTTTCTGTAAATCTAAACATGTTCTAAATTTTGTAAAATACCTAATAAAAATAAATTACAATGTATAATATAAAGATTAACATAATGACCCTCATTTTGTCCCAATGTATGCCAGTCACTCTTACTTCTAAGTATAGTGTACCGAGGAAATGAAGGAAGCTAGCCTTCCAAGAAGCTGAGAGCAGAGGCCACCTTTCAGCATCCTGTGATGTACCACAATTGACATGTGTACCTAGCGAAGTACTTTAACTAAATTAACCCTCACAAGAACACACAAATGGTTTATTTTGAACCATTTATTTATATTTTACTTCAGGCAAGAAACTGCAGATAGAATATAATATTAATAATGTAAGCATAGTAAGAGGCAAAAGTGCCATTTCTCCCATTCCTAGTATGAGTTCTTTATCAGTTACAACATGAAGTTAAAAACAAATGATGTCAGTTGAGTGTCCAAATCTGGGTTTCAGTTCAGGTCGTGATCTCAGGGTGAGGGATACAGCCCCACATCAGGCTGCAAGCTCAGCATGGAATCTGCTTGTCCCTCTCCCTCTGCTCCTCCCCCTGGGCTCTCTCTCTCTCTCAAATAAATAAATAAGTAAATAAATGAAATTATTTTTAAAAATGTTTTTCATTAATACAATCTGCCTAGAAGTAGACAAAAAAAATTCGTAGGTCTTCAGTGGATTTTTAATCAACATAATGAATAAATAAAAGATATACATATAAAACATGTGTTTTTAAATAGGAATAAATTAAGGAGATGGAAAGATAGATTTATATCCATTACTGTTAATGATGAACCTGCCCTTAATGTATTTCATGCATCAATAGCTAAAGATATTATGAAGCCTTCATAATTAGCACAACATATATCCAGGTTATAAAGACAAATCTTTATTATTTTTAGTGTTTAAAGTCATGTTATACCTAAAGTATTATTTTATGACAATTCACAATACATAAGGAAAAATAAGCAGAAAGTCTTTACAGATGTTTGTAATCTGTATTCTTTCATTTGTTGGAATCTGTTTTGAAAATGAAATACAAGAAAAAGATACAGTCTCAGTATATGCTCAAAAGCAAATGACTTCCTTAATATAAACAATGTTCTTATTAAAATTGTGAAAGTATAACCATTGCGAAAGCAGCCACTTGATCAGGATAAAAAGACACTAAGGTTTAAGGGTTAGCACTGCACATAAAATTCATTTTCTCCATCATTCATAGATAAGCAGTTGTAGAAAGGCAGATGAATCCAAAAATGTACAAAGTGCTACAAGATATCACTGATGTGGTTAATTGTGTAGCAACAAGATTTGAGCAAATACAGTAATATTTAAACGATAATGAGATGTATAGCAACCACAGCACAACATTTAAGTGACTTAGCTCCAGAACTGGACTAGTGAGCTAGAATATTAGCCAGAGAATTTATTAGTGATGAGACTTTAGACTTATTATTAATTTCTATGAGTTATTATTATAGAATGATGATGAAAATAGTCTCTGCCTCACAGAATTGGAAGTATTATAAAAGATACTTCATTACAGAACTTAAAACATCACTTGGGACATGGTAAGTACTTAAAAAATGTTAGCTATTATTGGCCATCATTATGGGAATAATTGTGAAAAACTTTTATACCACAACAAAGTCCATTAATTATCTTTTTGTAAAGAATTTAAAAGTCATCAAACTTAGAAATAAATTACACATTTTTCTTCTACAAATAAGTAAGACTTTCAATTTTTTTAAGATTTTAGTTATTTATTCATGAGAGACACAGAGAGAGAGAGAGAGAGGCAGAGACACAAGCAGAGGGAGAAGGAAGCTCCATGAAAGGAAGCCCGACGCGGGAGTTGATCCCGGGTCTTCAGGATCACGCCCTGGGCCGAAGGCAGGTGCCAAACCGCTGAGCCACCCAGGGATTCCCCAAGATTTCCAAATCTGCTAGCCTGTTCTGGGATATTTTATAAAGATGGGTCTTGGTAGACTCCTCCAGCAAGATCTCCTGCTTACTTAGTGCAAGGTTATACTCATAGTGTTGGCCACAAACAGCTAACCAAAACTACATCAAAATGTAAAAACAGTGTACATACCCTCAAATCAGGAGAAAAGTTGTCTGCAGAAGTTGAAATGGAATCCGATGATACTACAGAAGCTGATTTTGTATGCACTGAATTCTCTGAATGAGAAGTGGAAGCACTACAAAATATAAAAACAAATTATGTTTCAAAACTGGGGGTTTAAAAAATAATTTCAGAAATTTTACTAATTATAACTCCATTATTTATTAAAACTTCCATTGCTGGGGTGCCTGGATGGCCCAGTTGGTTAAGCATCTTCCTTCAGCTAGGTCATGATCTCAGGGTCCTGGGATTGAGCCCCAAGTCAGGCTCCCTGCTCAGCTGCTTCTCCCTCTCCCTCAGCCTGCTGCTCGGCCTGCCACTCTGCCTGATGCTCTGTCTGCCTACTTGTATGCATTCTCTGAATAAATAAATAAATTAAATCTTAAAAAAAAACTTCCATTGCCAACTAGTCCTATTTTGTCTATTCAAGCTTAATTCCAACCACTAATAAATTTCAAACTCTAATACTTAACCTACAGGGTTAAGTATTCCTACCACATTCCCCCTGGATAGACTATCCCAGGACTCCTGAATAAACTCTGGGCTAATTTCTTCTTTTTATTCAACCATCCACCCAATTCATCCAATGAACACTCATGGAATGATCCAACATGCAAAGCCATTATACCAGGCACTATGGTTTGGAGATAAATATTATACAATTCTCATGCTCATGAAGCTCACAAACTGTGGCAGAGAGAGATGAGTACGTAAATGGTGTGTTGTGATGATGACACTAGCCCCTGTGAAACTGAATAAAGAAAGCCTCCTTTCAAATGGAGTCAGGAGACCAGCAAGGGGAAATTCGCAAACCCTACCATTCATTGCAGCCCTCTGCATGCCCACAGGGAAAAGCCTACACTTTACTACCCCAGTAGGAAGATTTTCTCCTTGCCTGGCAACAGCCCCGCCAAAGAGAGAGAGTCACAACACAACCAGTTGAAGCCACTACACTTCCAACATTCAGTTTACTCCAAAGGATTCTGTGTTTATAATATCCCCTCCTGTTTATAACTGCTCCCCTAAATGCTCCCTTTCCCACATAAAAAAGCATTCCTCTCCTTTGTTCTCTAGCTTGCCTATGGTTTTTGCCATAACTTGCATGTCTCAAATTGTAATCCTCTGTAATCCCTGAATAAATACATTTTGCTGGTAATATAAGTGACAGTTTTACTTTTGAGGTCTACGCACTACAAACACAGAGACACAGAGACAGAGAAAATGCACTATGGGAGAAAGGAAAAAGAAGAACCAACTTTACTCACGAAGTTCAGGGAAGAGTTCAGAGACATGATGTTCTTTGATCAGAGTATTCAAAGACAGGAAATTGCCAAGCTGACACACAGGTAAGGGAATTCCAAAAGCATACAAAAAAAAAAAAAAAAAGGCACTGCAAAGATACAGAATAATCACAGAGCCCAGAACACTTGAGGAACTAGAGTTCAACAGGGCTAGACAAACAAAAGAACAGAAGCTAAAGATAGAAACATGAGCTTGTCTTTGCACCTATACCTTTCCACTAAATCAATTTCTATAGAAGCCTGTCTTAAATATCTATTTCTTCCATTATATTAATTAATTACATTAATCACACCCTATAGTTACTTTTATTCTCCTAAATTCCTATAGTACTCAGAGTAACTGTAGAATTACTGCCTTTTATTGTATAATGATCTCAGGTGCATATACATTTTTTCTCACCAACTAAATTACCCCAAAAGGGAGAACTCTGTCTTCATTTTCCACAACATCTACTCCAATGCCTATGTATACTATTAACACGTATTAGGTTTGTTAAATTCCAAAACATGGTTGACAATATAACTATGCCACAAATTGAATGAATTATATCATTTCTTTTTATCAGTACCTGAAAGTTATTTAAAGTAAAAAACAAAACAAAAAAACAATAATGGCGATAATGATAGAAAAATCTCAGACACTTTGAGTTGAAGTTTTTCTAAAGCTTCATTCTCAACATACTTAAAGTCCTCCTCACTCCCAAAGTCAATTTTCCTCAGGTTTTGATAAAATAATCCATTGTGAGATGTGATAGTTAAAAATTACATTTTCGTTTTAAAATTTGTCCACCATAACCTGCCTATAACAATAACTAAATTATTTATACAATGTGAAAATTATCTTCTCCAAAAGAAATTGTCACTTCATTTTCTATTGTTATTTTTTTAAGCTTTACTGAGGTGTGATTAAATAAAAACTGTGTAGCCACCCTGGGTGGCTCAGCGGTTTAGTGCCTGCCTTTGGCCCAGGGTGTGATCCTGGGGTCCCAGGATCAAGTCCCACATCCGGCTCCCTGCATGGAGCCTGCTTCTCCCTCTGCCTGTGTCTCTACGTCTCTCTCTCTCTGTGTGTGTGTCTCATGAATAAGTAAATAAAATCTTTTAAAAAAAAAACTGTGTACAACACATTAAGTGTACAACATGATGTTCTGATACATGTATATACTGTGAAATGAGTACTGCAATCAATATAAACATCCACCATCTCACGTAGTTACCTTTTTCTTTTTGTGGTGAGAGAATCTGAGATCTACTCTTTTAGCAATTTCAAGTATACAATACAGTATTACAACAGTCACTATGCTATACATATTAGGTCTCTGGAACTATGCACTTTATATATAAAACTTTGCCCATTTTGATCAATTTCTCACCATTTCCCACTTTTCAGATCTATGGTTTGAAAATATTTTCTCAGATTTTGTAGGTCCCTTTTTCATTTTGTTGTTTCCTTTGCTATAGAGAAACTTTTTAGTTTGGTATAGTTCCACTACTCTATTTTTGCTTTTGTTGCCATGCTAGTGGAATCAAATCCAACAAAGGGTTCTCAAGACCAATGCCAAGCAGCTTTTCCCCAGTTTTCCGCCAGGACTTTTACAGATTCAGGCCTTACATTTAAATGTTTAATACATTTTGGTTTGATTTGTATGTATGGTGTAAATCAGGGTTCAATTTCACCCTTTTGCATGTGGATATCCATTTTTACCAAAACCACTGTTCATTGTTGGCATCCTTTTCAAAGATAAATTGACTGTATATGTGTGGTTTTATTTCTGGGCTCTCTATCCTGTTCCCTGATCTTTGTGTCTACTTTTTATGCCAGTACCATACTGTTTTGATAACTACAGCTTTGGAATACAGCTGGAAGATAGGACATATGATGCTTCCAGCTTCATTCCTGTTCAAGATTGCTATAGCTATTTGGGGTCTTTTATGTTACCACAATGATTTTAAGATTGTTTTTTTCTATGAAAAATGCTACTGGAATTTTTATAGAGAATTCACTGAATCTGTAGATCACTTTGGTCAGCATGGACATTTTAAGCCAATTCATTCTTCTAATCATTAACACAGGATAACTTTTCATTGATTTATGTCTTCAGTTTCTTTGACCATAGTTTTATAATTTGTACAAGTCTTCAACCTCCTTGGTTAAATTTATTCCTAAGTATTGGGCAGCCCAGGTGGCTCAGCAGTTTAGTGCCACCTTCAGTCCAGGTTGCGATCCTAGAGACCCGGGATCGAGTCCCACGTCAGGCTCCCTGCATGGAGCCTGCTTCTCCCTCTGCCTGTGTCTCTGCCTCTCTCTCTCTGTCTCTCATGAATAAATAAATAGAATCTTTAAATAAATAAATAAATTTATTCCTAAGTATTTTATTCTTTTTGATGTTACTGCAATGGAACTGTTTTCTCAATTTCTTTTTTTGGGGAGTTTGTTGTTAGTGTATAAAAACACAATTGATTTCTGCATGTTGATTTTGTATCCTGCAACTTTCCTGAATTCGTGTATTAGTTTTAACAGTTTTTCTGGTAGAGTCTTTACAGTTCCCCATTTATAAGATCATGCCATCTGCAAAATGTTTTTAAGTATTCATACAATGCGAAAATCATCTCCCCTAAAAGAAATTCACTTAAATGGATTAAAAACAGTATTGCAGTAGAAACATCTCATAATACTTTTTTCAAATACAAACATATATTTATTAACTAACCGAAGGTATGATTGTAATTGTTATCTGTTTATACCCAACAACCTAGAATATTACACAAAGGAACAGTCATAAGAAATTCTATTATCGGGACGCCTGGGTGGCTCAGAGGTTGAGCGTCTGTCTGCCTTTCGCCCCAGGTCTGGGGATCGAGTTACACATCAGGCTCCCTGCAGGGAGCCTGCTTCTCCCTCTCTGCCTGTGTCTCTGCCTCCCTCTCTGTGTCACTCATGAATAAATAAAATCTTTAAAAAATAAAAAGAAATTCTATTATCTAGTTTTATAATGTAAAGATAGAGAAATTGACAGAGAATGTTTCCTTCCTTTTTTTTTCTGTTGTTGTAGCCAATTTCTTGCTAATCAAATACCATCTGTGTTAAAATAACAGGTAAAATAATCAAACTTTAGACACAGTACTTTGAGAGACATTATTTGTTGCCTACTCCAGATACACACATACCTCTTCTTTCCTTTACTTTGATTAGGGCAGTCTGGGCCCAGCCCAATATGACATGCTGCTTTTGGCTCCCTTGTGGCTAGCAGAACCATGTGACACAACTTTGGTCAATGAGATTTAAGAGGAACTATGTTAATAGTTATGGAAATCTTTTATTTTCTTAATAAAGGAGAGCAGAAACAGCAAGCTAAGGCTAGCCCTTAACCTTTCCCATTTTCTCTTCCTGGAACAAGAATGTGAAGTTTGGAAATATGTAGCCAGATTGTAAACATGACCAACATGGTGGCCTGCTAAGAACAGGGAGCCAAACAACAGGAAGAAGAAGCTCCTCATCTCATGGTATCACAAAGCAGCAGAGTTCACACCAACTCCCTACTTATGAAATTTTTGTTATGTAAAAAAGTTCAATTTTTTTTAAGATTTATTTACTTGAGAGAGAGAGCACACGCACACAAACTGGAAGAGGGGTAGGAGAGAATCTTTAAGCAGACTCCCCAGCGAGCACAGAGCCCAACACAAGGCATAATCTCACAACCTGAACCAAAACCAAGAGTCAGATGCTTAACCAACTGAGCCACTCGCACACTCCTGAAGTTCAATTTTTAAAATC